GAGTAAGACAAACTCCCCAGACTTCAAATTGGGAGTGGTGTATCATCAGGCAAGTTACTTAACCTCTCCCCGTTCCTCAGCTTTCCTATCTGGCAGTGGAAATACTACTACACTAGAAGGTTATACAGAGGATTGTTGTTTGTAAAATGTTTAGAACATTGCCAGGCACACAGCACCATGAACGTGGTTTCTAAAATAAGCAAACAGATATTATATGAAAGGTGGGAGACTATCGCTGTTGTAATATGTTAGGAAAAATATGAAGGCCTGGGGTCAGCAGGTAGCATGGTGGTTACGGTGATGGTCTTCCACATGGCTGAATGCAATTAATAGTCACAGACTTGGTGACTCGAGAATCATGCTAGGCATGTGTGCATGTGTGCCCAAAATCCTGAAAGGAGAATGGAGGGGAAGGGATTATTGTGGCATGGCCATTCCCGCTGGGTGGGAGAGAGGGGAGGAGGGAGATTCTGACTTTCCCTCTTTCTGTCTTTCTTCTGAGAGCACATGCGCCCTATGGCAAAAACCTAAAAAGGCTTAACTAAATAGCAGCAGCAGTAGAGATAAAAATAAGATTCAATTTGAGAAACTTATCAGGTAAAAATAGCAGGATTTGGTAGCCACTTGAGTTTGGTAGCCATGGTGGAGTCCTTAAGTTCACTTTCACTTCAGACATCAAGTTCTGGGGTCTCCAAAACCCATCTCAGATTTGATTATTCACTAGAAGGACACACAGAACTAACTGAAAAATGTACTGTTATGATTATAGTTTATTACAACAAAAGTATACAGATTAAAATCAATCACTAAGAAGACTTATGGTGTAGCATTCACAAAAGTTCACAGCATGAAGCCTCCAGTTGTCCTAATAGATTCATACACCAGGCTAACTTTCCTCAGCAACAATGTGTGACAGTACACAGTTCTGCCAAGCAGGGACGCTCACCTAAGCACTGCGCTCAGTTCTGAGACTCATCACGTAGACACGATTTTCTCCCCATGGAGCCAATTTTCAGTGACCAGACCCTCTGGAGGGAGAGCAGATAACTGTGGTCACAGCTTATATCATAAATCACATTGTTAGACTTTTAGGTATGGCCCAAGCCTCCAGATAAATAGGCACTTTGATCTGGCAGGATATTCTAAAGGGTTTAGAGATTGTCCCCTAGAAGCTGAGTGCAAACGCCTACTCATTTTAGAGTTCCTTTCCTTACTATTAGGTCGGCAAAGTCATGGCATATATTTTTTTTTTTTTTTGCATATATTTTTTTTTTTTTTGAGAGGTTTTTCGCTATAGGGCGTGTGCACTTACCAGACAGACAGGGGAGACAGAGAGACAGAAAGCGAGAAATCACCCCCCAGGGGGATGGTCACACCGTAATCCCTTCTCCTCTTGGGATCTTGGGCGCGCATGCACATGTTCCCGGCTTGAGTTTTAAGCCACCGGGTCCGGGATGCGAACCACGGTCGACTACATGGGAGTCCAGCGACATAGTCATTATGCTAACTGCTGGTTCTCTTTTTTTTTTTAATGCAAAAAATGCATCATGACTTTTTCAATGACCCAATATAAAGGTAGTGAAGGTGTGGAGAAAAACTGAGTATGCCAGATCGATGATGCCGGCTTCAACTGAAATACAATATTCTAGAAGCAAAGACAACATAGGTTTGAAAGGAAAACTGATGATTTTGATTTTGCCAAGTATAAAAACTAAGTGAAGTTGTTAGAAAACACTTAGAAGCATGGGACTGAATGTTGGGAAGGACCTCAGCTTGAGATGACAGCATACTGATGGAAGTTTAGTCATGCTATGGATGGGTTTGCCTGAAGAACACATAGGCAACAGATATAGTAAAAATGTAATGACGGTATACTCCAACTTTAAAGGGCTGCTCAGAGGACATGGCAAAAAAAAAAAAGTTATTAAAAAACAGTAAAATTGGACCAGTCAGTGACGTGGTTACAGTGGCTGAGTCCCAAACCTGGTGGCTTGATAAAAATGCCAGGCACATACATGTACATGCATGCCCAAAATCCTGGAAAGAGAATGGAGAAGGGATTGTATCATGGCCATGCCCTCTGGGAGGTCCTTTCTCACTTTCCCTATTTCTATCTCTATTCAGAGAGCACACAAGCCCTAAAACATTTTTTTTTTTTTTAAAGTAAGTAGTAAAAGAGACCAGCAGTTGGCGTAATGGCTGTGTTGTTGGACTCCCATGTAGTCAACCATGGTTTGAATCCCGGACGCAGTGGCTTAAGCTCATGCTGGTCACATGTCCTTGCGTGCCCAAGATCTCAAGAGGAGAATGGAGAAGGGATTGCAGTGTGTCCATCCCTCTTAGGGGGTGATTTCTCACTTTCTGTCTCTGTCTTTCTGGTAAGTGCAGGCGCCCTATAGCAAAAACCTCTCCAAAAGAAAAGAGAAAAACTAGTCAAATTAAAATAAATTCTGAATAGTCTCCATTACTATAGGAAACTAAACATAATGAGTAAATTACCTTTTAGATAGGGAATAAAAAGCATGAAACTTCTGGAAACAGACTATGCAAACACAGTATTATGTCATGCAAATAAACAGTTAAAAAAACAAAAATATTTAATTATTTTTATTTCCCATGTCATTTTTCATGCTTGGACTACTTTCTAAGTCGAAAGCCTTTTATTTTGCCTATGGCAAATTTAGCACATGTTTATGCAAAACTTAAATTACCATAAAAACCAAACAAAAAGTTAAGTGAAGCAGAAGTCACGGCTAATTAAATGGATTTGAGGTTCACTGCTTATTTTGTTAAGGGTCAAATAATAATTTATAAGTCTGTCTGAACACACTAAGTAGAAAAATAACTCATTACAAGATGTGAGAAGCCTGTTTACAATGAAGTCTACAGGCAAAATGTCTTGGAATAGTTAAAAAAATTTTTTTTAAAGTCATCCAGGTATGTTTACATTCCAGGTATGAGAAGCAGTACCAAATATAGGTTCAGAGTGGGATTCTTGCATCAGAGAGCCTAGGCACAAGTTTTAGCTCTGTCACTACTGGAGTGAACTTGGGCAAGTTACTTAAATTCTGTCCAATGTCCTCAAATAAAAATAGGAAACCAAACAGATTTGTTCTGAGGGTCACATAAGTAAGTATTCTGGAACATAATAAACATGTAATAGATATTCGGTTTTTTGAATATTCTACTTGAGTACCTCTGCCTACTGAAAACCTCAGGAATTAATTATACACTAGACCATGCAGTCTTTCTTCTCTGTGAAACACCCATTTAAATACTAATTTTTAAATAAAAATTATAACTGATATTTTCATCTTACAATATTTAAAGTTTCTAAAATAAGTTGTCCTAAAATTACCTTAGGACCACCTCAAATTTATAAACTTTATTAGCTAAAACTTAGTCTCTGTTTTAAACAATGCTTAAAGCTGTCCTTTGTAAAACAGAAATGCTGGGCCAGTCAGATGACTGGATCTCACATGGTCAATCGCAGTTTGAGTCCTGGACCAAGTGGCTTGAGAAGCATGCTGGGCACAGTGCATGGGTGCCCAAAATCCCAAGAGGAGAATGGAGAAGAGGGATTTCAGTGGCTAACTCCTGACAGGTGCTTGTTCTCTTTGTGGCAAGGACATGTGTTCTAAAGCAAATTAAAAAAACAAAACAAAAAAAGGAGAAAAGCTTATTGAGTTGATCCAAAAAGAGAAAGAATCAGACAACCACCGGAGAAATTATTGTCTGGACCAAGTTACAGATAATTATCTGCCATAATAGCCATGTTAAAATACAGGGATCAGCAGATGGCATTATGGTTACACCGTTGTACTCTGGTGGTTCGAGTCCCAGATGCGGTGGCTTACAACTCATACCAGATGTGTGTGTGAGGTGATTTCTCGCTTCCCTGTCTGTCTCTGTCTCTCGGGAAAGCACATGCGCCCTATAGCAAGAAATCTCTCTTAAAAAACCCACATATTATAAAATGTATATCATTATATATTATAAAACATTATATATTTATTGTACATGCATATATATATACACACACACTACATATACATTTTTTTTTTCTTTTTGTCTGTGCATAATCTATTGAGTTTTTGTCTCTACCTTTGCAAGCAATGACCTTCTTTCCTCAGTTGACAATATCTGGTTCCTTCATCAAAATCACTACTACAAATCACAAGACCTAGTCTTTCCTCAGGCTTTTGTTGGTATCCTCAGGATTGGTTAGATAAAACAAGACCTACTTCTAAAATACTACTTACAGAATTAGCAATTTACATAACTGTAAGCACAACCCTTCCACCTCCCCCTGAACACTAGACTGCATGCAAACTAGACATGGGGGCTCTATCTTGGTCTTTGTAATCCGGAAGGCATTACATGAGTTACTGTATCAAGCATTCCTGTCAAGTAGACATACAGTAACATCTTGAAGAACAGTAAAACTTAACATACAAATTAAATTTCTCTCACTCTATGCACTAAATGTTTATTTCCTACTCTTATTTAAATAATTTGTGTATGTACACATGCAGGTATGCAAAATATAGCCAGTCAGACATTATAGAAATGAAATATGATTACCACTCAAATAAAGTGATCCTTCAGCTAAGACAAGAGATGTTGGCTTTTAAAATATGTTGTATTATCTTTTGAAAAACAGAGACTAGTCAAATACCCTCAAAAGTTTTAAAAATTTTCAGTTACAGCATAATTAATTTTGTCAAATTGCTGGGTGATCCTGTTTTAAAGAGGAAAGCATTTGCTCAATGGCCTAACAAATTTTGTTCACTACCACTACAAAGTTTTCTCTCGTCTTTCCATCATTTCTAACTCAATCTGTTTTCTCTCAGTTCTTCCTTTCCATAGGCACAGTAGGAAAAAGCAGCCAGGTTTAGATCCCTTTCCTTTCAACTCACAGCATTCCGTCTGAAAAGGTTTATTATATACTTTCTCTGTATTTCTCTAACAAAGCATCAGGAAATTAATGATATACTAACCTTACTGTATTCCAGGCATCTCCAAGTTCTTTAGAATATTGTTTTTCAAAATGATCCAACACAACTTTGCAAATCTGTTTTGCAAGCTTCCCCTCTGATTTTGCTTTCAGCTATGATGATAAGAAAATGTTGCTGACACACACTGAACACTTACATATTTATTGAACTTTAACACAAATATATTTTAAAATATTTTTTAAGATAGAACTTTTTTTGGGGTAAGTTCCCAAGGAGTAATAGGTAGACAGTAGAGGAATGTGCTGGAAGTCACATAGCAGACGATGGGTTCAGATCTACTGCCAGTGTGCCTTAAACATGCCAACCCATGTTCCTAAAGAGCTAGAGGTGGGGGGCGGATAGATCACAGAGTGAGAAAATCCTAACCAAAGGCAATGTTTTTGTTTTTCTCTCTTTGGTACACTCTATCATAAATAATACAAACATATTATTTTTACAAAATTGGGGGGGGGTTAGTTCTTGCAATGGGAACAATACCTTACATGTAACAAAATCACATTACAATATTCTTCTGATTTTCTCCAATGGTTACTATCCAAGTTAACCAAAAGTTAAAGTAGAATCTAGTGTTGCTAAGAAACAAAAATGTAAAACGCCACTGGAAATATGACACTGGAAGGAACTTGGTGCAAAGTATAGGTGAACTTTTAACTGTCATTTAGACTCTTGTAAATCTAAGATTATTCTAAAATACAATTTATTTGGAAAGAAAAGTCATTCTAGTTCGCTCTTGCAGTTTTGCAGTTTTTAAATTTATCCTAGAAATGTGTATCGAGAAGTTTACTCTGTAACAGAGCTCTCTTAATCTCTCAGGGGACAGCAGGGACACAGAACAACGTCCCAGCCATCGAGGAGGTGGCATTCTGCTGGAGACGAAAGGAGCAGGCTGGACTGAACTACCCAGTTTATCCAAAGCCAGTGAGTTCTCGGGATAAATGGACAGAGAACGCTCACGAGCAAGCGTCAACACTATTCCGGGGTCTGGACGCAGATCCCAAGAAACCGGAAGACAGTTAACATAAGGTCGAAGATGAAGTTCCCCTATCCTGGCCCCCTCCCTCGCCACCTCAGTCGCACAGAAATGGCTGCTTCAGTCAAAGGCGCCCGCCTGGGCCCCAGGCCTCACCCTGGTCAGCATCACTCTGCCGCGAGCTCGCAAAAACAACTCTCCGCGACCAGAAAACGGAATCAACTACTCGGCTTCCGGGACTCGCCGGAATCCGTATTCTTCTACACGCTTCCGGTTCCAGTTCTCGCGACATACTGCCCCAGAGTTATCGAGATCGCACCAAACAGGGCTGAGTGTCGCGAGAGGCAAGGCGGAGGGAGGGGTTTGTTCCCGAGATCCCGCGGGAGGTCCCCGCAGATCCCCGGGCGTGGCAGGCGTCCGTGGGCGGACTTAAGACCAGCAGTTGGCGTGAAGGCCAGTTGGCGGAGAAAGGCAGGGCTCTCAGCCGCCTCGGGGCGCGTGGCGCTCATTAAAGGAGCTTTTGTCACTATTCGGTTCACTTCGTGATTATTTCAAAAGTTCTCAGAGGCGAAGCTTGTGGTTTATCTGTCACATCTGATGATCCCTGTTGACACTGATATTCGGTGCTCACGAATTAAGGTGAAAAAAAAAAATCAGGTTTTCCCTAGAGATGGTCCATGGGGATATATTACTCCCCCTTTTAAAAAAAAAAATGGGTAGCATTCAATGATTTCATTGAAATCCACGTGTAAAGCGCTTAGCACAGACTAGGAAAGTGAACGCCCAAATGTTTCCTGGTGTGTTTTATTATTTTATTTCTCAGATCGTTGTGATCCTGTTCCAATCAGTGCTAAAGACCTAGGTCCCTCACTTTTATAAGTAGCGGTGTAAATGGTTCACGGAAGGTATTAATTACACATATTCTGATATACTTTATTGGCTCCTTCAGTCTTACTCTTCAGCTGCTCCTTTGTAGCAGAAATCAGCAATTTATTGATAACAAAAAAATAAGTAATACAGTACCTGATACTTAATAAGCATCATTTTGAGCTGCCTCTTGGTGCTGAGATGTCAGTACAGATATATACAGTAGCTTCAAGTTTTATAGCCACATAAAAAGATGTCTACTAATTTGTTCTGAGGCCTAGTGTATTTATTTATTTATTTAAACAGGTTCCCAGTAGTCTAAAAATACATCTTAGTAGAATTTAGATTTACTGCAAAAGAAAATATGGTATACGTTAGTGTAATGATTAAATGCACGCCATCTGTTGGATGTCTTGGAAAAGCCAGTAGTCTATCAGCCTCTGAGAGATTTCATAGAATTCGTTTTTTTATGTTTATTGTAATGAGTTAATCAATTAGCATTATATTTGTAGTGTAGATATATAAAGGACTTGTAAGGCAGTAATAATCACATATACTGGTATGGTTGCCACCTGGCAATCTGCCTGCAAAGAGTCTTTGGAGTGTACATTCCTTTCTTTCCTATTAAATATTCTTTTCTACCTAAATATATATATATATATATATATATATATATATATATACACTAAAGGAAGTTGATGTGTTATACTTGGAAAATAGTTTTATACTGTTTGCACAGCATATTTCTATTTTCTGATTTTAATAATATATTTGCTCATAAATTTTTGTCTATACTCTGACAATACCCTTACAATTTCCTAGTTAATACTTAGTTTGGATAGGTTTTCAGATCTTATTAGCTATAGCATTTATTTTATAAATTATCTGCACATGTTCACTTTAAGTGTCTTAGTGCCATTATATTTATACTACAGATGCTAACAATACCACATTTTTAAATAACTTTACAATTTTTCTTAACATTTGAATTAAAAAGAAGCATGTGAATAAAAATGTAAAACTATATATTTACTTATTATCAATTGTTAGAGTTTGTGATTCATTCCACTGTTTTCCTGCTTCTAAGTTTCCAGGGGGGAAGTCAACTGTTTCTTCTTTTTTTTTTCTTATAATTTCATCTTTTAATATTTAACTGCTTAATCAATCTAGAATCAGTATTTGTGTATCTTGAGAATGTTAATGGATTTACCACCCCCACCCCAACTAACTACTGTAGAATTAATGAAGGTCCACATTAAATTTTAGGAATAGAAACAGTTAGAAGCTGGTTAGAAGCACATTTGTTTTAAAACAGTGCAGAAATGAAGAAAGAAATTGAGCTGATAAAAATGATGAAATTATACTAGTTTGTTTGCTTGCTTTTAATGATGGTGTTAAAGAACCAAAAACCAAGTGGCTTAATAATGACTTACCTCTAGGCACAAAGTTTTTTTTTAATGAAAGAAATGATTGGCTCAGGGCACATGCACTCGCCGTTGAGACAGACAGAAAGGAAAAAGAAATGAGAAATCACCCGCGGGAGTTTGCCACACCACAATCCTTCTCCATTCTCCTCTCAGGATCTTGGACACACATGCACACACACGTCTGATGTGAGTTTCAAATCACTGGATCTTGGACTTAAACCATAGTTGACAACTTGAGAGGCCAGTGACATAACCATTATGCCATGTGCTGGTACCCAGTAAAAGAATTTTTACATACCTAAGTAATTTTATTGTGAGATTTGTTATCTAAGAAGTGTTTCAAAATAAGTGCATTTTATAGACCATCTCCTATACCAACTATGTTCTATCAGTTTTCCCATTTACATGAAACATGCCTTATAACCCTTCATGTTCATATAGAAGTCTAGGTCAGAAAGTCTTGTCAGAAAGGACAAGCTTTACATCAAAACAATCTTGATACCAAGAGAGCTCTAGTTTCTTAAGATGTACAGCAGAGAACCACAACAGAGAAACCCGTGCTCAGTGCCAGATGATAGCATAGCTGTAGGCGATCTTGGACTTTCACTTCCGGTAAAGCTCCCATTTTGATAGTTTAGGGCTCCAAAATGGTGTACAGGAACTCCAGCAGACAAACCACTATGACTGAGAAGTAAATATAATAACATTTATTTAGTTTTACCTCTTAATTTTAGATCATTTTCCAAGGGAGTTTATTTAAAATACACATGCAATTATAGCTGAAATTTGTTCTCAAATTTACATGCTGAAGGCTTAACCCTCAGTACCTCAGAATATGATCGTATTTGGAGATGAGATGGGTCCATTCTACAGAAGAATAGGTTAAAATGACGCTGTTAATCTGACTGGTATCCTTGTAAAAAGAAAGAAATTAGACACACTGAGATGAGAGTGCAGAGAAAAGGCCATGTGAGGACACAAAGAGGTGATCTTCTACAAGCCAAGGAGAGAGGCCTCAAGAGAAACCAAACCTCCTGGCACCTTGACTTTGAATGTTCAGCCTCTAGAACTGCTTTAGAAAATACATATGTTTAAGTCCCCTAGTTTGTGATACTTTTGTTATGGCAACCCTACAATACTAATAAATGTAAGTGTATACTTATTTACTGAGGCTAACTCTATTGCAGTGATTAAGCAATGTGCAGAGGGAGCAGAGCCCACATAGCCAACCAAATCCGAGGTCAAATCCAAGCCCAGTGGCAACATGCCAGACATGCATACACACATGCCCAGGATCCGAATGGGATGGAGAAATGGAGGATAAGGGATTCCAGGGTAATTAGACCACACTGGGGGTGCTTTCTTTCTGCATGTACTCTCTAGCATTAAAAAATTAAGTTTTCAATAGGAGGGATTATACAAATTTGGAGACCACCAATTTACTTACCTTCATAAATTCTGTATGCTCATCAGCACACAGTAAGAATTTACCACTCAGCATCTAAGCAAGCAATTTTCTTCCCCAATTTTTCCTTTAATCATAAGCTAATCCCTTTCATAAAAGGAAATTCATTTTACTTACTATATTTTTCTCAAAAGAAAAAAAAACAACAGTTTTCTATTATTCTGTTTTCACAATGCTGAAGGATTATTACTAGTTTGATAATCTATCCCATACTGTTTTAAAGTATCTGACTTTGTTCTTTAGATCAGCTATATTTCTTGATGAATTAAATAATAATTACTGACATCTTGATGAATTAAATATTAAATATTGACAGAACCTCAGTAGCAAAGCCTATTCTATTTAGAGAAAAACATAGGTGTTAAAGTCAAGAATCATCAAATTTATAAACTACAACATTATTTGTATAAGCAGACTCAACTCTGAAAGTTCCGCTTCTAGACATGTTCAGTTTCTTTCACTGGAATGGGATAAACTGAGTAACGTGAGTAGTGTGTCATATCAAACTAAGTAGCAAATCAAAATACTGCCATGCAAGAGAGCACTTTGTAAAAGATCACCTGCAAATATAATGGTATTTTCAAAAGGTGAAATTCTCCAGGCTGTTCATGGAGGGTTTTACATATGAACTAAATTCTAGTATTTAATTTGGCACTTGAAAGAAGGTTTCATTTTAAAATTGCACAAAACATAGCACTTAAATAATGTGTACAAAATTATACATATGCTTTCCCCCAATATAAAAATGAATCAAATTACGAAAATCGTTCATAAATTTGAGGGAACCATGTGATCAGTAACTCTAAAAAATTCACTATTAGCATTTGCAACATTTATATCAGGTCTGTTTCTATGCAGAGGCACCAATCCATTTATATATTATTTACTTTTTAGTTACCAGAGGACATGTATACTTGCCAAAGAGATACAGAGATAGACAGCAAAGGAGGGGGGGGAAAACCCAGAAAGTGTTGTGGCCATGCCACGGTCCCTTATCCTCTATTTCTCCAGCCTGTTGAGACTCCAGGCATTTAAGTACACATAGAAGGCATATTTTATTTAAGACTCTAGGGTTGGGATTCAAAATGTGGTCTGCCCTGTGGAATCTGTCTCTCGTAACCACTAGATGATGGGGCCGGCCCATATCTGGCATCAATTACATGAAATATTGTAAGGAGAGTATATACATATGTATTTTATACATAAAGGCACATAAAATTACCCTTTAAATAAAAAGATATCTGTTGGTCAATAACTTTAACAAAGACAGACATTGAATAATTGATAGAATGCTAGTTCTATCTGCCTTTTACCATATTCTTTCCCACATATAAAAGACCTTGCAGAGAAAATTTTCATGTAAAATAACAAAACATGCATTATCTTGTCTTTCAACAATCATATTTTTAAATCCTTACCTATTTTATTACCTAAAATAAGTAATTAAAATAATTTAATTTGCTATAGGGCATGTGTACTTGCCAGGGAGAGGGAAAGG